ATTCGAGACGAGAGTTTAAAATACAAACGTCAAGAAAAAGCAAGATCAAAAGCTTGAGAGCCGATATTAAAGAAAGATCAAGATGAGAAGTCGAAGAGGCAAACTTCGAAGCAAGATAAAAAAAACTAGACTTTTAAATATAAATGTACTAATACTTTGATATTTAGTAATGAATGATAAAAGCTCAAAAATTGTTTTATGCACGAAAAGATTATTTCAAAAAAACACTTGTATAAAAAATTTATTTTTCAATTTCAAATTGATATTACTTACTCATTCAAAAGCCCACATTTTTTCAAAAAAAAAAAAAAAAAACACTAGTATAAAAAATTTATTTTTCAATTTCAACTTGATATTACTTGCTCATTCAAAAGCCCACATTTTTTCAAAAAAAAAAAAAAAAGGGTTCGGCCCATCCGGACGTCCGGTTCATCCGCAATGGTCAGATTTTTGACCATTATGACTTTTGACGAGCATCAACTAAATCAGTTGTTCGGAAGAGTACCGGACATCCGGATGATCATCCCCGTTCGACAAAGTTTTTGACGTTTTGACAACTATAAATATCACTTCACTTTCCATTCATTAAATAACTAGAAGAGAGCTTTTTGTGAAATATATTTGTAAAATATATTTTTTAAACTTATATTTTTACATTCATTTCATTTATTTCTTCATAAGAAACTTTGATTGTTGAATCAACGTCTTCAATCATTTCTCTCATCAAAGTGTTTCATTTCTCTTTGTACTTAACTTATTTATATCAATCTTAAAAGAGAGATATGTTTTTTAAGAAGATATTTGCACTTACATTGCATAAACTTGTCTACTTCTTCGTATTGAAAATTTTGATTGATTGAATCAAACTTGTAAAATCATCATATTCATCAAAGTTTCTCATTTCTCTCTTAGTACTTAATTTATTATAATTATTCATTAAAATAGATATATTTTGAGAAGATTTTTTAACCTACATTGCATTTATTTCTTCTTCATCTTCTCATTGAAATATTTTGATTGATTGAATCTAAAATTTGATTATTATATTCATTAAAGGTTTTCATCTAACACTTGAGCCATCATTTATTACAACTCATTGAAGTGTTAGCGTCTCTTAGTACTTAACTTATTTGTATTATTTATCAAGAGAGTAATTCCATTGTAAAATCCCTTTTATAAAGAGTGGGTCGTGTTGAAATCTCTTAAAGATCAGTATTGTATAATGATCGGTGCTCCTTATTGTAAGTCACCGTGTGGGTCATATTGAGGTCTCGTGAAAACTCAATAGTGGGTTGTGTTGAGGTCCCGTAAAGCTCAACATTGTATAAGGATTGGTACTCCTTATTTATAAGTCACCGAAAGCGTTGTAAATGGTTGGATTGCACCATAAGTCAATCAACATAGTAAAAAGGCCTTATTCGTACTGGAGAGATTGGTAACGAAGGACGTAGATCATTGCTTTAGATCAAACCTCCACAATTATATTGTTTGCATCATCTCTCCCTTTTACTTTTCACTTTTATATTTGTGCTTATTATTTGAATTAATCTATTTAATCATTTGAATTTTTAAAAACTAATTCACATCCCTCTTGGTTAGTTATTCTTGGACTTTCAGAGAAGAGCCAAATATATATAGGCAACTATGTAGGGGAACAAGAAATGCACCCCCTCTTGGTTAGTTATTCTTTAATTACTTCAACAAAGAATTCGGGTGACACCCAAATTTTAACTATCTCTACATTGACACGAATTTCACTACAATGAACAAAGCTCCAAAATTTTCTCCACCTAGAGAGGAAAATCCGTCTGTAAGAAATGAACTGGCTCTTCAACGATAACCAAAACTGATTTTTCTAATCAAACACAAAATACTCAACGTCTTCTAATGAATCCAAGCACTACTTTGTAGAATTACTTAAGATTCCAAAAAAATATAATGATTTTAAAATTCACCAAATTGGGCTGTAACACACCTCAAAGCAGAATCAAACATAAATTCTTTTAAAGAAGACCCCTTGCTAGATTGTACACATTCTAATATGCTAAAAGCACGCTCAACAAAATAATCATCCACATACCTTTTTTCCAATGGGTCCATCCCTAGTAATTGAATACAATGGCACCGCAGGTGATGGTGGTAAATCGGTGTTATCCATATCTCATTCGATAGTTGAAGATGAATGTGAGAAACTGTCTTCTTATCCTTTCGTAATTTCTCATTCGCGGTCAAAGTTGCGGGCATCTTGTCAATTCCAGCAGCGCATCATCCAAATCCTATTATTCGAGTACTGCATGTATCTTGACCTATTATAATGAAAATATAGTGCTCCGATCCAAAAACGAAATGTCATTTTTCATGGAAGTCATCACGAACAAAAATCTCGAACAAATCAAATCATGTGCTCTTGTGGAGCTATTGATCCTAGAATCTGATACCACTTGATATGGACCAATATGATTACTCTGATGCCACTTGTTGTGTTAATTATGCTCAGAATCTCTAATACAAATTGTTGAGAATTAAAGGATCACGTATTGCTCGATACCACTTGATATGAAATCAACCAACAGATTGAGATGTTGAAGTTATATGGCACAATAGTAAAGTATTTGACACAAGCAATAGAATATAAGATGACAAGAAGATATGATAGAGGAATTAGGAGATTTTATTGACTCGTGAACAATAATGAAGAAATATGCAATTGATGTGAAGCTCTAGTAATCACCGAGGCAAAACTTTCATAAATTCTCAAAACATCACTCCAAAATTGTAGAGAAGAGCCAAGTATATGTAGGCAACTATGCAGGGCGACATCCAAAACCTAATAGATGAGTTGTAGTTGAAGTAGAATGCCAAAAACGTGTTAAAACGCGAAAATGGCTTGAGTCGGATAACATTGTCGCTCGAGCGAGAAGCTAACGACAGGTCCGTCACTCAAGCAATAGGCGGGCGACAGGCAAGCTACCAAGTCTCGGGAGAAAACCTGCAGGTGTTGCTCGAGCTGCCAGCTAGTGGTAGGCTAGCAAAAATGCGACAACTTTTCTTTCCGGTCCATAATTTCAACATTTACAAGTCTAATACAAATTCCAACTCCCAATAGGCCTTCCAAATAAAATTTTAATGTGAATAAAACTCTAATACCATTCCAAACTGAATTTCTCTTACGTGCACTTCAATTACTTCAACTAGGAATTCGAGTCACGCCTAAATTCTAACAATATTCATAAAGATAGACTCACTTTGTTCTTGACTCATTTCTAAAGGTTATGGATCTGAGTTCTAATTTTCTTCATTTTTCACGAATTTGAAAGATTATATTTGTTTCGTTGGATTAAATTGAATTTCACATGATTAAGAAAAAGATAAGAAAGGTTTGTTAAAAAAAAAAAGAAAAAATTCATTGAATATGTTTAAATTTCTATCTTATAACGTATGAAAGTAATCCACCCATATTGATAGAAGTTAGTTCCATTATATATAGGTTTGCAAAATATATATACAAGAACTACAAAATACTAATTTGAGCAAAAAACTAATTAAGTTGTCTTACGTAATCTTTCAATCACTACTTTTTTTTTATGTTTTACTACTACTACTACGAGATGAAGAGTTTTACCCTCTACACACCAATACGTTCGTGTGAGAAGTTATTAGTTTTTTTTTCTCTTTAATTGAACTTTCTCCCTTTTCTTTGGTCAATTTATTTGATCAAAGGGCAACTACAATAATTTCCAAAATTTCACCAAAAAATTATCCATAACTACCTCATAAATAAATTGGAATCAGATGTATAAATTCAAATATTATTAAATTTTAAAGGTACAAAATATCAATCAATATTATTGTATCATATAACGTTATTTAGCACAAATGATGTTTAACACTAGTTTAAAAGATAATGAGGCCATTGTCACATTATCCAATGAAGTTATGATGCACTTTTATTCATCAGACAACGTGACTATACTAGCTTCACTATCATTTAGAGGAGTGCCACACACTACTTGTCTTACGTTACATTATTTTTCACACTGAGATCTTCAACATCCAGTATAGGAACACTGGAGTATAAGAGGAGAGAAGAAGAGAGAAATCTAGTCGTCTTGGATCTTCGCATAATCCAAGTTCACTTTGCCATCTACTGTATTGCTGAGCTGTGTTTCTACATACTCTATGTATTTGAATGGCCGATACAGTGGACGCCCATCTCTTTGTACTGATGGTGAAGCTGGGCCAACAATGGCATCTGGTGCTGGACTAATTTGAAGCATTACACACATAATAAAATCAACACATGGAAGAATAAAACTCAGAAATTATTGAATTAAAGAACTAAGGGTTTCAAAAGATTACATTGTTCGCCCTAATAATAAATTTAGCTAAACATGATGAAGAATATGAAAGGAATAAACATATTGGAATACATCACCGGATTATTGGAATAAAGATATGGAAAA